AACGAACAATTTCTACTCTCTTGAAAGTATGTTCCTGAGAACAATGATGGGTATCATCACTCTACCTTTCTCGCTAGTTCTCTATCAACTCACAAACTGCATTAACCTAACCGGGTATTCAGATGAGCATTACAGAGAAACAGACACATAGATAAAAGCCAAAAAAGTACCAGTATGTTGTCACAGATAGCTTAAAATGAAGGTGTCCTGGCACTACTGTTTATAACCTATTTCTATAAGAATTTGAAGTTGCTCCAAACAAAAGGCTAAATTTTAGGCAGAAGACAAACAGGGTCAAAAAAATACTCTGTTGCTGAGTTCTGAAACAGGAATGCTGCCACACTGTAAGCATGTCCTCAGAAATGTTGGTGTTTTCCTCCATTTTTTTCTCCTGCCACTACAGACATGCTCTGGCATCCTCTATCTTTAAGAAAGTTACCTTTGACTTCTCTCACCTTTCCCAACTATTTGCCCTGCATGCCTTTTCTCTTCTACCTTAACTTCAATCAGCTATCTATTTAGAATAGTCAACTGCCACTTCTAGCTACCAGTTCTCAGGATCAGATCTAAAATAAGACCTCCACAGTTCAGCTGAAACTTCTCTCACAAACATCTCCAATAATCTCCCCTTATAACTGAGTCAAAGAAAGCAGAGTCCATTTTCTCTACTCACATCTATCTTCATTTTCTTAATTTACTGTCTCATTTACTCAATTTTTCTCCCCTTGAAACATTGTTCTCCCTTGTTTATGGGAATTCAGTTACGTTCACATTTTCCTCTCAATCCCTCCTGCAGCATATCTTCCAACTTCAACATTCTCTTATGCCCCTGGTGAGGGTTCTCACAGGACTCCAACCTTGGTTCCTGCTCCCCTTCTACATCTGGGCAATTTCACTGCAAAACACAAACTTGAAAACCACCACCTCTTTGCTGGTAACTCCTAAACCTATCCATTTAATTCAAACTGTAAGCACGACATGCTAAAACAGAGGTATGAATCTCACTAGTGGTCTTATTTCTGGCAAGTCCTCTGCACTGCCATTATGCCAGACAATATAATCACCCTGTTTGTCATTCAGGCTCCTAACCAGGGAGTAATCTTCAGCAACTGTAGGGGAGAACCTTTCCCATCCAATTGCAGCAAAAAGGTTTCCATCTCACATCTGTTATTGAAACATCTCCTCTTATTTGTTTCTAACAATTCCATCTTGCCTTTTAAAACATTGCTTCCTTTTTCCTCCTGTAGAATCAGTATCTATCACTCAATAACGAAAGATCAATTTTTGTCCCCAACCAATCCATGACATTAGCATCCATTATTCTCGTTTGTTGATTTTCAAAGAAGAACTGCCCATGCTGCCCCAGGATTGGAAGGAGTGCTTTACAAACACCTGAAAAGGTAGTTAATTGCTCTCTTTTAAATCATCCCTCAGAGGCATTTTTTGCTGTTTATATTGCTTAGGCATGGTACTCAATATTGTTGTGCTGCCTAGTGCATTTTTGTTGTTTACCTTCTCTTATCTCTGTCATTTAGTTTGTAAAGCCTCTGGGAAAAATCCACCTTTCTCTTCTGTGACTACAGCGTATAACACAAAGATACCTGATCCGTGACAAGTGCTGCTATACACTACAGTAACCAAAATAATTAATCTTCAATTTTTAAAACAGGTGACCAGCATAACTACGTATTTCCTGGCTGTTTTCCTGCAAATGTTTTTTGTCAGAAGTTCTTCCTTGCTTCCATCACTGCAGATGAAGGTAGCTCCTCTGACATATGACCACAATATACCCAGCTCCTCTATATATGCCTGCGATACTGTACCATTTGCTCATCCTCATCTCCACAAAGCTTCCACCCCTCCCCAAGTCTCCCTTTAGCTAGAAGAGACACACATCCATGGAAATGCGAACAGTAACAGGCTAGCCAGACAACTAACAGTGAACTCCTTCCTTTGCTTTTTCTCACTGAAAGCATCACAAAACAGTCATTCTCCTCTACTACCCAGCAATCTTCACAAAACTTACAGAAGTTTAAAATCTTGAAGCCACCTCTACACAGCACGGTTTACACCTACTGGTCAATTTCAAAGTTGTCAGGAGAAAAAGGAAGCACAACTGAAAAAAAAAAAAAGGTGCAGCGACAATACTAGCACAAATGTGCAGGAACAATACTAGCAGAAAACCAGCTTCTTATGTTATGCTTTAAAGATAGTCACAATGCAAAATCATAGTTCTAACTCTACGAGGGCCTGAACAATACATGCTTATATAAAAGTATATGTGCCAAAAATTGACAAATCACTTATAGAAATCTGTTTTCAAATAAACTGCAGCAGGATTCTATTGATCATTTTCACTAAGGAGCAATTAGCATCTTTCCTTAACGTCATTGATAATACTATAAACACCTAGGACTGAAAGAAATCACTTACTCATCTCCATCTGGGCAGATTCCTGTAGTCTCATCATATTTTGTACAATAAACATCTGGACTGTAGTTAAAAGTCCCATCACGCCTTCGTATAGGTCTACGACGACGCTGATTTAGGAAATGCCAATGAAAACAGGTAAATGGTCTGTGCTGGGCACACTTGTGCTGCAAAAATAGGGGGCACTGCTCTGTCCTAAATTCCTTTAGATACCTAAAAAAATTAAACTGTGTTACAAGTTTATCTTATTGGAGGCACATTTTTACAGTATTAACAGGGCACTTGACAATTCAGTGCACATAGCCCGTGAAAAATTGTACAAATGTACCTGCATACAGTTTTAGTTCCTATGCACAATTTACTGTTTAGCTGTTGTATACAAGTGACTTCATTTTTTTATGACAGATGCATTACTAATAAAATACAGTGGAATACCTGGCAAATTATATTATGTTTTGTAACTAAACTAAAATCAAATAAATACATTAATTTAAAAAGCACAGTATTTAGAATATTGTCCTAAGTAACCACCAAACAAAGATTATAAATCAAACAAGTTACTTGAGTGAGCATTTGTATTGCTTGCTACCATACAAAATAGTCCTGCAAAGGGTATTTTAGCTAAATACCACATCTAATTTAAACATGAGTCCTTAATCACAGTATTCCCAGCATGCGGACACACTATATAGAAAGCTACAGGGTTAAAAGAGGTTTATGAAGGTTATCAGGGGCCATGAGAGGGCTTCAGCAAACTTATTTTAGCAACTGTTACCTTTGTGTTGAGACAGCCTAGGGTCTTTGAAGGTTACTTAGGTGTTAATGAGACAGTCTTTCATTAGCATGCAGGGCATAGAAGCTAGTTAGGAAGTCTGATAGCACTTTCCACAGGATATCAAAATCATGCCAGACTGGGCACTACTGTGGCATTTGTCAAAGGACGTAAGACAGCACTTCCTCCTGTCTCAGTTTATATATCTATTAGCCAATTTAGCAAGTTCATTACATCGCTAAAGTTATGGAGTATTTGCAGAAGAAGGAGTATACAGAGGCTTTGCAGAAGAACCTTATGGTTCCCAGAGGTCTCTAAAAGGGTGCAGGATGTGTAACAGGCTACAGGGGAATTTAAGATATAGGGAAAGGAAAGGATTAGAGAGAGGATTAAAGGGCATCTTTTCACTCTTAGTTGCTTAAATTGGTACATGGGCGATGTAATGACACAAGAGTTATGAAACATGCCTTTAAGTTCAGAGAAAAATCTCTAAACTATCCAGGATTGCGGGAAGAGGGGAAGAAAAAAAAAAAAAGGAATAGAATTTTTGGACATTAAGGGCTGTAGGACGGGCTGTAGCAGTATCTAGGTAAGTGGCTACATTCTTGTGGTCTTTCTGAGAGTGCTGGAAATGTGATATTATAGAAGTGATGATATGGGGGTTGGGAGTGAAGGAATGTCACAATCAAGTGATAAATTATTCTGCATTTGTGGGGAGCACATGAGCCTACATGACATGGGTTGCCAGTAATGCTAGAGGGCTGCAGGGACTTTATAGACCATATCAGAAGAAAACGGATAGGCTTGCAGAGAGGATGGCAAGCATACAGGAGCTGTCTTTCAGTACGGCAAGGTCTGCAAAAATTGTCACGGAAACGTCCCATGGACTCGAGCTGAGGCTGGCTACGCAACGCTTAGAAGTGGAAGGACTGCTCTCATAGCCGGGAGAGGGCGGTCTCGAAGCGTGGGAGGGTGCCGCGGGGCTCGGGGTGCCGTACAATGCCGGCGGGTCGCGGCGCG